GCCGGCGAGGGCGAGGCGCGGGGGACGCGGCGGCGGGCCATGGGGGGCGGGGGCGCCGCTGAGCCGGCAGGGGGCGGCCGCGCGCCTCGGATGCCGGCGCGGGGAGGGGGCGCGCTCCGGTCACGTGGGCGGGGAGGGGCGCCCCCTCCCCCGTCGCGTCTCAGCGGAGCCCCGGCAACTGGCGCGGCGCGCTCGGACTGGGGCGCTGGCGGTGGTAGCGGGGCCCGGGCGCGGCTCGAGAGTCCCGGAGGGTCTGCCGGGCGGGAGGCGGTGGGCGCCCATCGTTCTCGCGGAGCGTCTGGCGGGCGAAGGGCCTCCTCCCTCCAGGACGGTCCCCGAGCATCGCTGCCGCTTCGCGCCTCCTGCCCGGCGGCCTCTTACAATGGAACCCCCCCCGACTCCCCTACCAAGCCCCCGGCGCGGGCCCCCCCCCCCCCCCCCGGCGCCTGAGCGACGTCCAGCAGAAGCGGCCGCGCTCGCGCTGCGTCCAACGGGCCACAGAGTCTCCGGGCGCGGGGAGCCGTTCCAGTCCTTTATTTCAAGCTCTGTCCTTCAAGCAACGGGACGCGGGGTTCGCGGGCCAGCAAGCCGGCCGTGGCCGCGGGGAGACCTGCAGGGGCCGGGCGACACACACGCGGACCAGCGCGCACCTCCAGTCCCCTCCCCCCGAAGTCCGGCCCCGCCACTCCGGAGCGGTCGGCCGAAGGAAGGCCGGGCAGGCTGCGCGGCTCCGGCCCGACAAGTCCGTGGGGAGCGGAGGGGGCCCGTCCTCGCCCAGATCGTCAGAAGGCGGCCGCCCCCCGGCGCTCCGGCGGCTCCCCCGCCCGCACGGCCCGCTGGTGCCGGCCCTGCAAGTGCTTGCCCTGGACCCGCTCGAAGTGCTGCAGCAGCTCCGCATAGTCGATGGCCGGGCCGACGACCGTCTTCCTGGAGGCCTGGCCGGCCTTGGCAGGGTCCCTGCGGAAAGAGGGCGGAGGGTCAGCTGGCCCAGGTCACTCACAGGAGGGCTCGGCACCGGGACCCCTGCCAGTCTTCAAGCAGGCTCTGCCGTCCAGCCGGTGGCCGAATCGCCACTT